AGTGACACAGAGAGACACAGAGAGACACAGAGAGAGATAGTGAGACAGTGAGAGACAGTGAGACAGAGACGAACAGTGAGACACATAGACAGAGACACACAGACAGAGACACAGAGAGACAGTGAGACAGTGAGACACAGAGAGACACAGATAGAGCTAGTGAGACAGTGAGAGACAGTGAGACAGAGACGAACAGTGAGACACACAGACAGAGACACAGTTAGACACACAGACAGTGAGTCAGTGAGAGACAGTGAGACAGAGATGAACAGTGAGACACATAGACAGAGACACACAGACAGAGACACAGTGAGACACACAGACAGTGAGTCAGTGAGAGACATTGAGACAGAGACGAACAGTGAGACACATAGACAGAGACACACAGACAGAGACACAGAGAGACAATGAGACAGTGAGACACAGAGAGAGATAGTGAGACACAGTGAGACACACAGACAGAGACACAGTGAGACACACAGACAGCGAGTCAGTGAGAGACAGTGAGACAGAGACGAACAGTGAGACACATAGACAGAGACACACAGACAGAGACACAGAGAGACAGTGACACAGAGAGACACAGAGAGACACAGAGAGAGATAGCGAGACAGTGAGAGACAGTGAGACAGAGACGCACAGTGAGACACACAGACAGAGACACAGTGAGACACACAGACAGAGACACAGTGAGACACACAGACAGCGAGTCAGTGAGAGACAGTGAGACAGAGACGAACAGTGAGACACATAGACAGAGACACACAGACAGAGACACAGAGAGACACACAGACAGTGAGACAGTGAGACACAGAGAGACAATGAGACAGTGAGACACAGAGAGAGATAGTGAGACACAGTGAGACACACACAGAGAGACACACACACAGACAGACACACACAGTGAGACACACAGACAGACACACAGAGAGACAGTGAGAGACAGCGAGAGACAGTGAGACAGAGACGAACAGTGAGACAAATAGACAGAGACACACAGACAGAGACACAGAGAGACAGTGAGACAGAGAGACACAGAGAGACACAGAGAGACACAGAGAGACACAGAGAGAGATAGTGAGACAGTGAGAGACAGTGAGACAGAGACGCACAGTGAGACACACAGACAGAGACACAGTGAGACACACAGACAGAGACACAGTGAGACACAGAGAGACAATGAGACAGTGAGACACAGAGAGAGATAGTGAGACACAGTGAGAAACACACAGAGAGACACACACAGACAGTGAGTCAGTGAGAGACAGTGAGACAGAGACGAACAGTGAGACACATAGACAGAGACACACAGACAGAGACACAGAGAGACAGTGAGATAGAGAGACACAGAGAGACACAGAGAGACACAGAGAGAGACAGTGAGACAGTGAGACAGAGAGACACAGAGAGAGATAGTGAGTCAGTGAGAGACAGTGAGACAGAGACACACAGTGAGACACATAGACAGAGACACACAGACAGAGACACAGAGAGACAGTGACACAGAGAGACACAGAGAGACACAGAGAGAGCTAGTGAGACAGTGAGAGACAGTGAGACAGAGACGAACAGTGAGACACATAGACAGAGACACAGAGAGACAGTGAGACAGAGAGACACAGAGAGACACAGAGAGACACAGAGAGAGACAGTGAGACACAGAGAGACACAGAGAAAGCTAGTGAGACAGTGAGAGACAGTGAGACAGAGACGAACAGTGAGACACACAGACAGAGACACACAGACAGAGACACAGAGAGACAGTGAGACAGAGAGACACAGAGAGACACAGAGAGACAGTGAGAGACAGTGAGACAGAGACGAACAGTGAGACACACAGACAGAGACACAGTTAGACACACAGACAGTGAGTCAGTGAGGAACAGAGAGACACAGAGAGAGATAGTGAGTCAGTGAGAGACAGTGAGACAGAGACGAACAGTGAGACACATAGACAGAGACACACAGACAGAGACACAGTGAGACAGTGAGACAGTGAGACACAGAGAGATACAGATAGAGCTAGTGAGACAGTGAGAGACAGTGAGACAGAGACGAACAGTGAGACACACAGACAGAGACACAGTGAGACACACAGACAGTGAGACAGTGAGGAACAGAGAGACACGGAGAGAGATAGTGAGACAGTGAGAGACAGTGAGACAGAGAGACACAGAGAGACACAGAGAGAGATAGCGAGACAGTGAGAGACAGTGAGACAGAGACACACAGACAGAGACACACAGACAGAGACACAGAGAGACACACAGACAGTGAGTCAGTGAGAGACAGTGAGACAGAGACGAACAGTGAGACAAATAGACAGAGACACACCGACAGAGCCACAGAGAGACAGTGAGACAGTGAGACACAGAGAGACACAGAGAGAGATAGCGAGACAGTGAGACAGTGACGCACAGTGAGACACATAGACAGGAACACACAGACAGAGACACAGAGAGACAGTGAGACAGTGAGACACAGAGAGACACAGATAGAGCTAGTGAGACAGTGAGAGACAGTGAGACAGAGACGCACAGTGAGACACACAGACAGAGACACAGTTAGACACACAGACAGCGAGTCAGTGAGAGACAGTGAGACAGAGACGAACAGTGAGACACATAGACAGAGACACACAGACAGAGACACACAGACAGCGAGACATTGAGGAACAGAGAGACACAGAGAGAGATAGTGAGTCAGTGAGAGACATTGAGACAGAGACGAACAGTGAGACACACAGACAGAGACACACAGAGACACAGAGAGACAGTGAGATAGAGAGACACAGATAGAGCTAGTGAGACAGTGAGAGACAGTGAGACAGAGACGAACAGTGAGACACACAGACAGAGACACACAGAGACACAGAGAGACAGTGAGATAGAGAGACACAGATAGAGCTAGTGAGACAGTGAGAGACAGTGAGACAGAGACGAACAGTGAGACACACAGACAGAGACACAGTGAGACACACAGACAGTGAGTCAGTGAGAGACAGTGAGACAGAGACGAACAGTGAGACACATAGACAGAGACACACAGACAGAGACACAGAGAAACAGTGAGACAGTGAGACACAGAGAGACACAGATAGAGCTAGTGAGACAGTGAGAGACAGTGAGACAGAGACGAACAGTGAGACACACAGACAGAGACACACAGACAGCGAGACATTGAGGAACAGAGAGACACAGAGAGAGATAGTGAGTCAGTGAGAGACAGTGAGAGACAGTGAGACAGAGACGCACAGTGAGACACATAGACAGAGACACACAGACAGAGACACAGAGAGACAATGAGACAGTGAGACACAGAGAGAGATAGTGAGACACAGTGAGACACACAGACAGAGACACAGTGAGACACACAGACAGTGAGACAGTGAAGAACAGAGAGACACAGAGAGAGATAGTGAGTCAGTGAGAGACAGTGAGAGACAGTGAGACAGAGACGCACAGTGAGACACATAGACAGAGACACACAGAGACACAGAGAGACAGTGAGACAGAGAGACACAGATAGAGCTAGTGAGACAGTGAGAGACAGTGAGACAGAGACGAACAGTGAGACACACAGACAGAGACACACAGACAGAGACACAGAGAGACAGTGACACAGAGAGACACAGAGAGACACAGAGAGAGCTAGTTAGACAGTGAGATACAGTGAGACAGAGACGAACAGTGAGACACACAGACAGAGACACAGTGAGACACAGAGAGACAGTGAGAGACAGTGAGAGACAGTGAGACAGAGACGAACAGTGAGACACATAGACAGAGACACAGTGAGACACACAGACAGTGAGTCAGTGAGAGACAGTGAGACAGAGACGAACAGTGAGACACACAGACAGAGACACACAGACAGAGACACACAGACAGTGAGACAGTGAGACACAGAGAGACACAGAGAGAGCTAGTGAGACAGTGAGAGACAGTGAGACAGAGACGAACAGTGAGACACACAGACAGAGACACAGTGAGACAGTGACAGAGAGAGACACAGAGAGACACAGAGAGACACAGTGAGACACAGAGAGACAATGAGGCAGTGAGACACAGAGAGAGATAGTGAGACACAGTGAGACACACACAGAGAGACACACACAGTGAGACACACAGACAGTGAGTCAGTGAGAGACAGTGAGACAGTGAGACATAGAGAGACACGGAGAGAGATAGTGAGTCAGTGAGAGACAGTGAGACAGAGACGCACAGTGAGACACATAGACAGAGACACACAGACAGAGACACAGAGAGACAGTGAGACAGTGAGACACAGAGAGACACAGAGAGAGCTAGTGAGACAGTGAGAGACAGTGAGACAGAGACGAACAGTGAGACACATAGACAGAGACAC